GTGTGAGTAACGCCACATATTATAGTGACAGTAACTAACCTTCACACTTCTCTAAACTATCTAGTTTCACCCAGATATACAAAAGTGCGTAACCACTAATATTTGATTTAACAATTAAGATGATTTTTAGCGATTAATGTCATAAGTGTAACGAAACTGGGTTCATCCTTTGTCATGTCCATTAGAAGAATTTTTGACATTTAAATTTGATAAAACGTGGATTGATATTAAAAAATGTTGCATCTAATAAAAAATCATGTAACAAACTATGTATCAAAAAACAGAGCATATATTAAACAATATAACAATTAAAATATCTTACATCAAACCAATGTATCAGTTAGTAAACTATTGTATCGGCTAACAAATCAAGTATCGGCAACAAGCTATATTACATCGTATGCATAGTTTCCTAATACAAAAATTACGCACTAACACTTTATATAACATCTAAGTTAAAAGTCAGAAAAGATGCACATTCTCGATTTGTTGTGACCCTAAAATCAATTGCAATCCCTAGTTACAGAAGTTTAATAGGAGATTCATAGATTAGGTATGGTGGCAAGGATGGGATGAGGAAGAGGAGGAGGTCGGTGGTGGCTGGTGCCAAAACACCGGTGTCAAGGGATCCACCATGTATCTTTCTCTTGCATCACAACAAAACATTTTTATAATTTCTGAAGCTTTCTTTGAGAAAAGTTTTGTAGGTACCTAATAACATTTCTAAGATGATTAATTTTTTCTATTTTGATTCCGTTCCGACCTTCTCTTCTTTTTTATCTTTTGATGTACTGAAAAATAGAAAAGAAAAATGAAGAAAGAAAATGAAGATAAAGATAAAGAAAGAAGATGAAATGTAAGGAAAGAGAACATCGAAATGAAGAAAGAGAATGATGATGATAGGAATTTCGGAACAAAATAGGAAAAGAGGAGAAAATGTTATACTGTACCATGATTCAGGGTTTTCAAGAGCACTTACTATGGTAAGTCTTTAACATGAATCTTTAGGAAAAAATTAATTTTATAATTAGTAGGTCTCATCAACAGTTAAAGATTCTATATTTAAAAACCTTATTTAAGGATTGATCCTTACATTATTCACGGGCTCCACTATACACATGATGATCTGGGAATGGTCAATTTTTTTTATTTAAAAAAAATCCAAAATATCCTTATATAATCTGATATACCCCTTTTTCCCCTAAGGATTCCCCTAAAGACTTCCTATTGTGGATGCTCTAAACGTGTATAATATTTTCTTAATTTTGAAGTGCATAAGATATATATAGCAAATTATCTATTTTTCTATAACCACTATCCATCTATCCACCTTAATTTTTCATTTTCGTATTACATCTTCATGCCAAAAAATAACTTTTAACCCTTTTAGAATTATGTATACAAAACTTGTATTCCTCGTATTATCTATCATTAAATCCACTCTAATAACAAATATAACTAAATCAATGCACACTGATGGACAAGAAACTATATTTGACGTACTTCCACTAAAGAAAATAACATTGAAATATAAATATATTTGTAACCTGAGTTTTTCAATAAAATGGAATCATCAGTTCTAACTTCTAACGATTTTATAGGGTTTTGACCAATTTTAATTCAACACAAAGCTGATTTAAGAACAACATGTACGCAATTAAACAAAGGAGTAATTGAACCATTCCAACAAGCTGGTCCAATTAATAAGACAATGCATATCCTTTTGTTGCATATCTAAAAGTAATATGCTACACAATGTAAATACAGTTAAAAATCATGGTTAATGTAAATTTGGTCTATAAACGGTTATCCGTGCAGACCGCACAGATCAAAACCTAGTAAGATTTATAGTAGATAGCAACCATTTATATTGATACTATTAATCTATACTTCTAATAAAAACTGAATAACAAACAACTATTTATAACATCTGTTATATTTCTATTGCTGACCATTAACCAAATAAATAACTCTATAATACATGATTCATTTTTTCTGGAAAAAGCTTTTATAATAAACGATTCCTAACATAGACAAAGAAGCATATTAAACTTGAACAAATTTGTAATTATATTTATACAGTTAAGTTTGGTGAAGTTGGTATAAATTTAGTCATCAAATGTAGATTTAGTAATTATATATATATATATATATATACTAAGACAATATTGTAAAGATATTTAAGGTTGAAGGGTTCTAAATCAAATCATAACATCTAATTTCAAAAGTCAGATATTATGTATCTTATAACTTCTTAATTAAAAACTAAATTCTATTTTCCTTAGTTCGAATAAATTTAATATGTTGATTAGATATTCTTAGTAACAAATATATTTACGTTTTTGATAATGTAAGACTTCTAAAATAACTACCAGGATTATTTTAACTCTATCATGATTGATTTAGGACCATAGATAATACACTATCATTATATTAAGATTTATAATGATCTGATATAGTGCAATGCATATTTATGAAATTTATGTGAAAGGTACATATCAGATTAATTTTAACAACTAGCAAATCTATCTATATTATAATAGTAGTATTTTTAGGTTCTACAACGCGTCATATCAGTATTTTATGGGTCCTGCGCGTTTAATTTTTAAAAGACTATAGTCTTTCTAAAATGATTACAAACAATAAATTACACTTTAGTTGAATGGTATAAAGCGCGTCATTAAATTCGTAAGTGCGTAGGTTCAAACCACGCAGTTAGCATGTATTTTTGGTTTTTTCGTTTGGTTTATTATCATATGAATTTTTTTTTGTTTTTAATGTTTTTATGTTTTTTTTCCTTTGGGTCTATTGTTTTAAAACCCAAAATAGTGAGATAAACCCTACAGCTTAACAGACTCAACCCAAAAACAATTAAAATAGATCAAAACACAAACAGTCTAAAAAACAAAAACAAAAAAGCGGCACTATCATGTATATTTTCTATTAGGACCTATTTCCTAATATATATTTTCAAAAAATTGTGTATATGAAATAAAATTTTAAAAACAACAAAATTTAAGTATTTTTCGTTATTTATTAAATGGATATGTAATTTCTCTTATATTTTTAATAGCTACTATAATTTTGTTGAAAACATTTCTCACAATCGACTCTAATGGATTATCAGACTCCGGCGAACGGATTCCTACAGTCGTCGACATCGTAAATAAAAATGACACATTATTCATGAACAAAATCCAAACTTACAAAAAACCATATAAGAAAACCTATCTAATGAAACCAAAAACCCAATATTAACTTAAAGTAAGGTTATTTCAAATTGATAAATTAATTAGTACAAATATAGATACTATAAATAAAAAATTCTATCAAATTTTGACCTCCAGTATAAAAGCATTTCCCACCACTGACTCTAATAGTTTATTAGAATCTGGCGAATTGATATCGATAACGCCGTAAATAAGAATACCACAATATCATTCATAAACAAAACACGAACTTACAAAAAAACATATACAAAAATCTATCTAATGAAACCCAAACAACACATATTAACTTAAGTTAAGGTTATTTTCAAATTAATAAATCGTTTAGTACAAATATAAATACTACAAATAAAGAAATATATCAAGTTTTGACCATTAGACTCCGGTATAAAAACTATTCACAGCAAAAAAAACAAAACAAAAACAAGATAAAGACCTAATTTTAGACACTAAAAACTATATTATACCTTCACTATTCATATAAATCTTACTTCACATATAAATAATACTGAACACATTATATACAATATTTTACTTTATACTCTTACTACATTCTTTCCCTTTCATCATTATTTGGTTTTATTAAAAGAATTCACTAAATCAACAATCGAAAAACATACGCAAACAACAATGATCCCGGCTCCGCGCGTGCGCGGAGGAGATGGAACTAATCTATAATAATAAATGGAAAATTCCGCGTATGCACTCAAATCCTAAAATTCTTCTGATATATACCTTGCATGTAAATTACATAAAGATGCATTTTACATGATTTATTAATTTATATTATGATTTGAATCAAATGGCTAGGAGATATATTCCTTCCATAATTATATTAAAATATCAATAATCAATTTTAAGAACCATCAATATATACCGGTTTGGTATCAAAAATATAACTATCCAAAAAAATAAAAAGCAAAAAATTATAACCAAAAATATAACTACCAAAATTAGAATCAAGAGCGAAAACTGTGTATCCCTATTCAGACCCACGCGTACATATTGAATTGAACTCAAAATTTATCGGATTTCTAATATTGTTATTTGAACTATACCAAAACCTAAAATAAACCAAATGGTTCATATATCTTTGAACCGAGAACAAAAGACAACAATCTGAACCAAACAAAAACAAAATACAATCGGGAAGTGAACTGAAAACCGAAAATCATGCCTAAACAAATTATGTTAATAAATTTGTCAACAAAAAATATTATGCGATTTTAAAGCTCGGTTACTATCCTAGTACTCACTTAAACTATACAATAGTTACAAGAACCTGATTATGTGCCACATACCAAAATAAATCTTGCGTACGCCCCCTGATAATAATATAACAAACTTATATAGATTCAATATAACTGACTAAAAAATAAGCTTCAACATTTGAAATAAAGTCTAGCGTCAGGCCTAAGTTGTTGAAGGATTGACTAAATAAGGATAAGGATGGACTTGTCAAAACTTACTATATTCCAACTGTATTATGTTGCAACATCTTACATTCTTGAAGAAGAATGACTTTTGTCAAGATCGCTAACCAGCAAACTAAAGGTAAGAAATAAAACAGTCTAAAGCCAAACATAGAGGTGACAACAACAAAAAGACAAGTTCAAATTTAGCCAAAAATAATCTTAGAAAATGTCTCTCCACCATTAATCTTGAGCTCCTCTCAAGGCGTGTATATATATACCCAATCAAATCATTTATTGCAACCTCAGGCTTTGAGATTCCGAGAAAAATAAGGGTGATAATTAAATAAACACCCGAAAGATGGGTCTCAAGGCTTCCTCTTCTCTACTCTGTCTCACCATCTTATTAGGTGTTTCTTCCATTGTATCAGCAGTTAACATAACCCGAGCACTCGAGAAATACCCTGAATTCAGCACCATGGTCGAGCTTTTCGGTAAGACCGAGCTCGCACCAATTATCAACAAACGTCAGACAATTACCGTGCTGGCTCTTAGCAACGATGCTATCGGTTCCATTTCTGGTAGACCCGAGGAGGAGCTCAAGAACGTTCTTATGAATCATGTGGTTCTTGATTACTTTGATGAGCTCAAGCTCAAGGCTCTCAAGGACAGGAGCACATTGCTCACTACCCTTTACCAATCTACTGGTTTGGGCCAACAGCAAAACGGTTTCCTAAACTGCACTAAAACTAACGGAAAGATTTACTTCGGGTCTGGTGTGAAAGGCGCTCCTCTAACTGCTGAATACATCACAACCGTATTCCGCAACCCGTATAATCTTTCTGTGATCCAAATCAGCATGCCCATTGTGGCTCCTGGACTCGGATCTCCGGTTAAGGTTCCTCCACCACCACCCATGTCATCACCACCGTCTCCATCTCCCAAGAAGGCTGCAGTCACTCCAGCTCCTGGACCAGCTGAGGAGGAGGATTACGCAGATTCTCCTCCAGGCGCAGCTCCAGAAACCGCACCTGCATCAGCCCCATCAGAAGATGGTTCTCCTGCTCCGGCTCCAGGGAATGCTGGTAAGAAGAAAATGGCAGCAGCTGATGAAGTTGAACCACCTACTTCTGCTTCTAACACCGGTTTGACTTTTGGTGCTGTTCTCGTTCTCGGGTTTGTGGCTAGTTTTGCTGGGTTCTAAAATGGTTTAATAAAGAGCAGAGTCGAGGACAGTAACTGAATATGAGTCTCGACCATGATATGAAGTGGGTAAACACTTAACAATTTCTACTCACATTAATAAACCTCAAAATCATTTATCATTAGGGAATGAAAGTGTGATGTTCAACAACGTGAAACTTGTACTGTCATCAATTCAACGTGTTACATTCCAACAATATATGCAATGAATTTTCAAACTAGCACAGCGGAAACGATTTAATCCCAAACTAGCATTGATTGTGTAACACCCGTCACCTTCTACGTGGAGTACAGCGTGTCATCCCCGACGCGTCATCAAATAACAATGTGCCATCCGTCCCTCTCTCTCTAGGACGACGAGCCACCCATAATATCTCGTAAAAAAAACCCAAAAGCCCAACTACACTCGCCCAAGCCCAAATGAAAATCCAAATAGAAAAGCCCGATAGCACCAAGTCCGTCCAAATATCACTAGATTGATTGTCTCACCTGAAATGGAGAAGAAAGAGGGTTGAGCGATTGGGGAGTCACTCAGTGATGTATGGGATGCTACCCCGAAGTCCGTGGACCCGGACATAGCACTCCGAATAAATATAAATTAATTCTAATGCATGTCAAACATGGTACCTAAAGTACTCAAACAAACAAACAATGGTCCTAGCAAGGTACACACCCGCTGCCCACTAACAGGCCAAAAACACTACCCACACCTGGGCTAGAACAACTCGAGATAGTGCTCGGACACCGCCCGTAGACGATTTATCGACACTACCAGGTTACGGCTCAACCGGTCGACTATAGTTGGCCGTAACCTTCCAAACAATCCGGAATACGTTAGCACCACCACGTTGTGTATCCGTCACACACAATTCGGCATACAGTAGCACCACCACGCTCTCTGTATCCGTCTCACACAATTATAACTACGAATTTACATTAAGTGAATAAATCAACGTTTGACCCTCTGACATCCTAATCCGGTTTATGCAAAGAATTCTAAACCTAAGCAAGCAGACACCAATCAGACCTTAAATTAGACTTAATTCACAAAGACGAAACATATTAGAAATATATTATATTTATTTAAAGTTCTACGTCGCGTACGAATCGTTCGTAAGTAAACGCTCACCTTAGCAACTGGGAAAAAGTGGTATCTATGAACTCCAGCTGCTCAAATAGATCCCAAATCTGAAATAAAATCGAAATTCCGAGTCAGAATGACCTTCGAACGGTCGAAAACGGGCGTCTACGGAAAAGTCAACCTGCTGGTCAAAGGTCAACCCGGTCAACTCTGACCCAAGCCGGTCAACCCTTGACCAAATTGAAATCGAATTGGACCAATCGGTTTTNGTCAGAATGACCTTCGAACGGTCGAAAACGGGCGTCTACGGAAAAGTCAACCTGCTGGTCAAAGGTCAACCCGGTCAACTCTGACCCAAGCCGGTCAACCCTTGACCAAATTGAAATCGAATTGGACCAATCGGTTTTTCTTAACCGGATTCGATTTCAATTGAACCGGATCCAAATCAATTACAAAGCGGTTTACTCCGAACCAAAATTCAATTGATTTTAACCATCGGTTTATCTTAACCAAATCACAATCGGATTGAACCGGGTCAAACCAGTCAACCAACCGGTTGACTGAGTCAACCGAGTTGACTCGCTGTGTTGACTCGGCCGAGTTGACCGAGTCACCGGCGACGGTCATCGGCGGCGACGGCGGTCCGGCGGTGGTCGGCGGCGGAGACACGGCGGTCCGGCGGCGGAGACACGGCGGTCCGGCGGCGGAGACACGGCGGTCCGGCGGGGAGACACGGTCGTCCGGCGGGGAGACACGGCGGTCCGGCGGCGGCGCGTGCACTCCACGCGCTCAGACGGTGAAACTTTGACGGGCGCGTGCGGCTTTGTCTGAGGTCGGATCGAGGCGTTTTCGGTGTCTACGGCTTCGTCTCGATGAGTAGAACACGGTGGTGGCCTTGCATGCACAAGATTCTCAACGGTTCAGAAGTTATCGACGATTTACTAAACGGACAAAACAAAGCTCCATCCATGGTGGTTTCTGGTGATTCTCAGCTGCGGTGAACGGTGGGGACGAGGTCGGCGTTATCATGACGTGTGGTGGTCGTGGTGAGCTCCGGCGGTGGCTCAGCCTGTCCACAAAGCTTCTTCATTCTCTCTTTCTCTCTCTCTCTTTCTCTCTCATTTCCTTTTGATTGTAGAAAAAATAAAATACTGGAGAGAGATGGTGGGCTGGGATTAATAAACAAAATGCTTTGGGCTTTCGGGAATTGACATGGGCCTTGATGGGCCGGAGGTGGGTCGTTACAATTCTCCCCCACTAATAAGGAATTCGTCCCCGAATTCGAGTCATCCGTTGACTGTCTAAAATCATCGTATCAAAACTCTGGATAATCAATTTGCTCGGTCTCTGAGATCTTCTCTTGAATCTTATCTCACTCCCAACAAATTCTGATATACACGGTCAATCTTCCCTGATTTGCTTCAATTTGACGATCCATAATGTTCTCTGGCTGATAAGATGCATACAATCTCGCTGAAGTCATCTGGTGACCGCTGCAACCTATCTCTGGCTTTGTCAAGACTGTCTTTAAAACAAAAACCTAAAGATCTGGTAACTTTATTGATGAATTCAATCCGAAAGCAACTTCTACAATCCGCTCCACAATAGAATACAATCCCATTATCTTGGTTTACGCTTCATTAGCTTCCGAGTCTTATATCCTCCCTAAGATGTCCTTATTTTCAGTTATACTCGATCGCCTAACTGAAACTCTAATTCTTTACGCTTCTTATCTTCATAACTCTCGGACGATCATAGCCTTTCCAAAACCAACCTTGAGAAAGTCCACTTGCTCTACCGTCCCTGGAACCAGTAATGGTTCTATAACTCGTTGCTCCCCCACTTTTGTCCGGCTTATCATGAAAAGCTTCATATGGCGCTATCTCAATACCTTGATTATAATTGACACTGTGGGCAAACTCTGCTAGAGGTAGACACTTCCATAACTTCATTTCTCTTGCAAGACGATCTCTGAACATAACCTCAAAAATCTGAATGATCCTCTTTAACTGACCCTCAGTCTCTCAATGATAAGTAATACTCAAATAGATCTTTTCTCCAAGCGCCTTCTAAGAAATTCTCCATATGTAGACGTGAATTAACATCTCGATCCAATACAATACTCACAAGAATTCCATGCAATCCTTACAATCTCTCTGATGTGTGTCTGCGCCAGCTGACTAGCTCAAACTGCCTTCACAACTATTTGGAAAATAACTGATTTAGTGAATACATCCACAATCCCTCATATCCTCTCTACACGTGATAATCCATAATCCCGAGGTTTCGTTTCCACTCTGGCCAAAGCAAACTCAGCAATAACCTGATAGGTATCCGGTGTTCAAACATAACCATCAGACACTGCGACGCAACGCTACAATCTTTTCCAAACTAGGTCAATGATAGTAACACTTCATATCTTGTACTCATGGGTGTTCCTCGGGTGGACATAGAAACGCGAGTGATGTGTTTGCGGTAAGATCCTTTTTCTTAACAGCTCAACATCCAACACACCAACTCGATTCTCTTACAAGAACAACCTGATCCAAAACTGTATGATGTACATCACTCTCAACCTCGATCCACCTAACCAATCCATATCGCTATCTTGAGTTTGGTGTATCCTTAGTAAATTTGTATGTTCAAATGCTCCAATGCTTCAATGCCGACTGTATCCTCCTCTACTGAACTGCACATAAGCTTAAGGCTTGTAAGCGTTCCAGTAACTCTTGATCCTCTGTGATTCCTGACATATCTCTCATGTACCTAGTTAAGGTATTTACCACTTGGTTGGCCTCACCAAATGTCATTCTATATTCAAATTGTAGACTGCTACCAACTCAATCCATCTGCACGTCCTAAAGTACAAGTTTAATGAATGCGCACATATATTTCAGACTCTGATGATCCCCATGAATCTGAACTTCCTTGCTATACAATGATGATCCTCAAAACTCTAAAGCCGATGCAACTGCTGCTAACTCCAAATCGCGCACTGAATATTTGACCTAAAAATATGCTCCCACTATCCACAACATGAATCTTAATACATTTCCCATGACGATGGTGGCAACAGAGAAAACTCGATAACTCATACTGGTTCCCTGCTTCGTAGCTTTCTCCACTAAATCTCTTAACCTGAAGTAAGCGACGACACAACACATGCTCTGAATCTCTACTTGGATTCTATCCAAAAATTTTCTGATCAGATTCCCTTCCTCATTGTCACCTCTAACAAATCCTCTTCTTTAAGTCTGATAGGTCCAAAGTGGCTTATTCATACTTTCTCCCACCACGCTAATGCATCTCCATGTAGATACTCCATAGTCAATATAAAAGGCAACTTTGGTGATCACTCCAAAAATCTCTGATTTCCCTTCTAAAATGTTCCATATTCATATTCTCCATCTGACTTGATGCTTATACCATGATCTGACCTTCTCGTATTAAATACAAAATATGCTTATGCTCCTCATACTTCTCTTTACTCCAATAATATTCAGGGTGTTGGCGATGAATACAACCACACACTTATCCAAGGGTTCGGAAAAGAATTTATCCTTAAGTTCCATGAATGCTATCCGTGAATTCGTCATCCCAATAATATTATTTCCAACTCTTATTATCCATCTTATATGTGAAACTGTAGTCTGTACATATCTCCCAATTATAGCAATCTGATGGTACTCTGAATCCAACTCAATCTTCAAAAATGATGAACCTTCTGTAGTATCCCGCCAAATCTACTGATCAATACATCAACACTCTTAGGTGATAACCACTTTGGGACTGCAATAATATTTTCCGGATCAATAACAACTCTTGCCTCTGAAACCTCGTGACCCAAAAATCTAATCTCCTTTTGCCAGAAGCAACACTCATTCAACTTAGTAAATATATGATGCTCTCTCAGCTTACCC